AACGAGCTGGACCTGGAATCCTCCAGAACATTTTGAGGTCTTCAGCTCTCCACAAAACACTGTCAAACAGTGCCTGGAGGGATCTGAACATTAAAAAGAGACGTGAGAGACGACTGCCCCCACCAAAGTCCTAGTCCTACTGAGTATCACCAGAGGGTGGGACAGCTGGAAGTCCAGGTACTTCGGGCATCTGGATACAACCACTATGGCCACACCTGCACATGTCCAGCCCTACTGCTCAGGCTGACAGTGACCACCACCCACCAAGAGCAGGAACTGCCCTGAACTGAAGCACACCCAAATGCAGGTTCCCGATGGAGCAGAATACATGAGAGAACAGGCAACAGAGGAAAAGCCCGTATGTGGCCACCGCAGCACGCGTGCAAACCTCACGAACAGACCACTGCCTGTGGAGCATGGTGGAGATGGGCTTCACGGCCTGGAGACTAAAACACTCCGGGCCTGCTGTGAATGGACGGGCCCAGAGCCACACTCTGCTCCTGCTGAGCAGCTGGACAGGGACTGGAGGCTGTAGAGAAGTCATTTGCTTGGGAGAAGAAAGGGCGCCAGCTCCAGGCTGGGCTAACCCGTGATCGGAGAGGGATCAGTCCTCCACACCCAGCGGTGAAAAGGACAAGAGGCTGCCGATGTCGGTGGGTACTGACCTTACAAGCCAGGGCGTCCACCCTCATGTCCCTATGGCCAGTGCATCACCCTGGCTCGCCCAGGCACAGCAGGTGACTGTAGGCTCCCTGGCCATCTGTCCCTCCACCCAGCCTGGCCTCACCTCTTTGAGCCCTGCTCTTGAGCAGACTGATCCATAAAGGTTTACTAGACCTCCTGACACTGCCCTGCAATTTGAAGTCATACAGGCCTGGTGCACAGTGGGCCCATGAAGAAACGAACACATGACTAAATGAGCCAGGAAGTGCTGGCATGCGTTTGGGTCATGGGGAGGCCATGCTTGGATTTTCCAGAGGTCTGTATACCACTTCGGGAACCCTAAAACTGCTGAGTTGTGACTTTATGGTCACAGAAGGGGCTGCTGAGTAAATTGTGCCCGAGATCAGGGTTCATGTTGAATCATCATGCTCTCTAACCCCTTGGAGACCATAAGCCATGGGCAGAAGAGTGGCCACTCCCGTGGGAGGGTACACCATGGGACCAGGAAAGGTCACGTCCCCTCCCAGGCCTCAGCTGAACTCCTAAGACTGGAGACATCCTCCAGCTTGCAGGTGTGGACAGCAGCCATGGCAGTAGCAGGCAGCTGAAGTCAGGTGGCAGCGCCCCTCTGAACCTTGATTTTCGTTTCAGCAGGATGGGATGAGTGTACTTGAATGGCAGGGGAGGCGGGTGGCACTCGCTCCAAACACAGAGGCTGGGGGCCAGAATGTAGCTCAGCCGGCAGAGTGCTTGCTTGGCATCCACAGACAGGGCACAGTGGCACACACCTGTACTCCCGGGGGCACACAGGAGAAGGAGAAGCAGTGTTCAAGGCCATCCTTGTCTACATAGACAGTTTGAGGCCAGCCTGGGCTACATATAAATCCCCAAATAAAAACCCCCAAAGAATGGTGATCCATGAACCCAGGCAAGTAGGCAACAGCACAAAGTTATAGACAGACAAGGACAGACTAACAGCCAACATCCACCAGAGTTTCCTAACCTTCTCAGGGGAGCACACAGCTCCAACCCAATCCCGGGGCCTCACCTGGAAGGCTATCCTAATCAAGCTGGGTCCTCTCTGTGTCCTCAGTTTCCCCATTGGTACAGAGCTGAACAGAGACAAAGAAGGGGAGAAGCAGAAGAGGGAGAGGAAGGGGTGGGGAGGAAGGCTGAAAGGGGCCTCCTCAGCCCAAGCATTAATGAGAAGTCCTTTGCTCAGAAACCAGATCAGCTTTGTCCCGCAGGAGAAACTGAGTCCCCAGAGGTCACAGTGGCGCTATGAAATCTGAATCTGGTCTGTCAGACCCTCCATGTCTACAGAGTCCATCACAGGTTGTGAGAGGAGCCAGGAAGGGGTTGAGCACTCTGCCCCCTAGTGGCTGCTGTCTAACATTGCATCCTCGAGGCCAGAGAAAGCCCAATCCTGCAGGGCTGAGCTCTCACCCATCCTCCCTCAGGAGAGGAAATCCCACAGGGGAGGGCAGGGCACAGGAGCCAGGCGAGGAGCCACCCAGGCCTTCTGGGACAAAGGCTCCTCAAAGACACAGAGGAAAGAGGGGAGCCTGCAGCCAGGGAGGCCTCCTGCTAGCCAGGGACTATAAAAGGCTTTCAAACCTTTTCTCTCCATAACCTTTGCTTTCACAGCACACACAGAAGTTCGCAGTGGATCAGATAAGGGAGGCAGTGCCACCAGAGAGGAACAGGAGTCAAGGGTATCTAAGGAAGGGAACCTTCAGAGAAGGCCAAGTCTCATATGCCTGTAAGGCTGCCATTGCGGATCTGTGCCACTCTGCAGACATCCCACCAGGCCCAAGGCTGGAACCCCCAGACCCTGCCACCCCACCCCACAATAAGAACAAACACCCCATTTTACAGCATAGGGAGCCAAGTGAAGTCTCTTTTCCCAGACCATAGACCAGGAAGGGCACATGAGTCAGAACTCACACCACCCTGGTCAACAGCCACCATCTGGGCCACACCTGCAAGGGACCTTCCAAGCAAGGACAGAACTCAGCCCATTTACAGAGAGGACAAAAGTCAACACAGTCACTGGTGGAGCCTGGGTCTGGCCTCTCCTGGGTACTATGTGGTTCCCAGGGACAGAAACCTCTGACCCAAGAAACACAGTGTCCTTTCCAAGCCTTCGAGAGGAAGGGACGGCCCCCAGAGACATAGCCAGCAGCCTGGGGCCAACCAGTGCTATGGCACATCTGCTGGGCACTTGGGAGCCCCCACTGCGCCATCTCCTCGGGGCCCACACCAGCCATGGGCAGTGTGGTTCTCATTGTGTGGACAGGGACAGATATGGCGATCATGAGCCCCCAGTTCTGGAGCCAGCCATCTTTCCCCCTAATGCCCCTCACGGGCCATATTTCCTCTGTGTTGGCTCCCTTCACAATCCAACACCACCCCCAGGCCAGTGCTAAGGACAGAGGAGTCACCACCCAGCATTCCAGCTGAGAAAACCAAAGGGCAGAGACATTTAAGCTCTCAAAATCTCAAGGCTGCTGAAAAGACACAGTGGTGGGACTTGAACCCAAGGCTTTCCTCAGCCTCCATCAGCCAACTGCTGAGGTTACAGCCCCACCTAGTGGCAGGAACCCGAAAGCAGAGACGGTTTCCCCAGCACAGCACCCACGGTGGGTCTGGAGCCCACTCGCAGGGGCTCCATCAGCCTCCATCAGCCTCCATCTCCACACAGAACCACAGACTCCACCAACACAGACGACGCCTGCATGTCCCTGTGTGGGTGTCACTCACCACCAAGGGACCGCTCCTCTTGTCCTTGCAAAAGCTGTGGCTTCGCCTGGGGGTGGAGGCGCTGGGGGCCACCTGCTGGAGAGGCTGCTGGCCGTCCTGCAGACCATCCCCACGCTCCAGGTTCTGCAGAGGCACCTGAGATGGAGAACACAGAGTAGGAGTTTAGTGGGAGCCTCTTGTTTACAAGAAAGGTGTGTCCCTCTCACATACACACATATACATACATACACACAGACCATCATGGTCATAGGTAACATGTGGGAAGCAGGTCTTGGGTCCAACTGACCCAGATTCACAGCTGTGTGACCTTGGGCAAATCTTAATCTCTCTGACCCCAACCGAAGGGAACAATATTCACAGCTTTAATGGGGAAAAGGAAATGAGGAGCCTTGCTCAGAACCTGCATGACACGGCTCCACCACCAGGGGGCAGGTGTGCTTGGCCTTTAGGGCCTCCAGTTTACCAGCTCCATCATTGCCCACAGTGATCCTGTGGTCTTAGTTTGAACATCTTTCCTGGCATCCAAATACATGCCTTGGGAAATGGCAGGGAGAGGGAAAAGTCCAAGGGCACGCAGCCTAAATTCTGCAGTTTTTTTTTTCCTCTCGGCTACTACTGGGGAGTAAACCCAAGAGTCAGGTAAACCCGGGAATCCACAAAGTGTTTTACACCCTGCACACTCTATGCAGATAAGCCTGGAGGGCCAGAGAGGGCAGGTTCCCGGTAACAGACACACAGCATCAGGAAGGGCTGGACTGGCTCTTCCTCCCAGCCCCTTTCCTACCCTCCCTGTTCCGGACCACTTAGGCCACCCTCTGGCTTGCTTCTCTCTCACGGGCTGTTTTCTCTTGTTCCTTGAACAATCCAGTCCTGCACTGAGCCTTCCCTTCTGTCGCTATGTCCTTTCCACTGGGCTCATTTTCATGTGCCAGTGGCATTAAATGAATCCCACCCACATTTCAGTTCTGCCCGTCCGTGCTGGTACCCAGTCTGTCCCGCACAGCCTTCACAAGCCTCCATTCCAAGGCGCTCCTACGCTGTGGCCCAGCTCCTAGCTGGGCACCCCAAGCCCTCACTCGCCTCCTCCTGCACCCACAGCATAGCTAGAACACCACTCCCTCCAGACTTCACACCCTGCTACCTGATGCTCTAACATAGACATCATAACATAACAAACTCAGGACTTACATGTTAGGAGGCCAAGATGAGAGCTGAGAGACGGAAGCCAGGGCCCAAAGGAGGGGTTTCATATGCTCTGCCCGACTTATGCCACTTGGGAGGACAACTTTTACAGTTTCCTGGCTACAGTGGCCACAACTACATCAACACTCAGGATGTAGTTGAAGGCCAGTCGAGAGACCACAGCGTTCAGAGCCTCAACATCCAATACAAATGTAAAATGTATGAACTGATATGGGGAACGGCAAGGAATTTCCAGGCTGATACACGTTTTGCCATCAAACAGACCCTTTGCGCTGAAGCTCAAGGCTCCTGTGGCAGCAGTGTCCAGGCAAGGTGACCCATGGGAGGATGCTCTAGGGTACTGCTGTATCATGGTAAAAAACCAAATGATCCCTGCTCCTAGAGGCGCTGCAGGTGTGGCTGCTGTGCCACGTGTGCGTCAGTGGGTGGCGGAGAGGACAGAGGCTGTGTCTACACTCAGTGTTCTGACCTGCGAGCACCTGGATCATTAGTGGCCTTACCCTCCCTGAAGAAAGCAAGCACGAGATGACCACCAGTCTGCCGGGAGGAGGCAGACTGTACCCCAGAAAACCCCTGCCTAGTGCCATAATGCATGAGTGGGGCATAGCACTCCTGAGACAATCCCAGACACTCAGAGACCCAAGTGCCACTAAGAGAAGCGAGTACGTGGTGGAGAAATGGAAGAGAAAGAGAAGCAGAAGGATGTGGGCACAATGAAGAGAGGCAGAATTGGAGACTCGAGGGTGGTGAGGGACAGCCTTATATGTGTAGCCAGGGAGGCCACCTGGGACCATGGTGGGGTCCTGGCCTGTGCTGCCAGCAAGGGCCACATCTGGGTCTGTGATATTACAGCAGCGGAGGTCTGTGACCAGCAAAGTTCAGACAGACGGCCCTGGTCTGGGCTGCCACCCAGAAACATGCTAATGTCTGAGGGCTGTGAAGGACTGGCCCCACCCCTTGCCTGGACATGTGAGAGAGACGGTCCTGAGGGCATAAGAGCAGGAGAGCTGACCCCTCACCAGCTGCAGTACTCAGGAGAGCAAACCCACCGCACCCCACCCCATCCCTGGCAGTGCGGTCCAGGAGAAGCTGACCCTGATGAGGGGTGGAGAGCACTGAGGATGCAAGCGTGGGGGAGCTGGCCCATTTCATTGTCTGCATTCAGTGACATGAGCAAGGGAGAGATAGCCACCTCTCGCCCCTTGCCACCTATGGCAGGCAAAAGAGCAGACAGGAGAGCTGGCCCCAGGGTCATCAGAGCAGGAGGAGAGCTGTCCCTGCCCCTCACCTGCTGCAGCACTCAGGAGAGTGGGCCCTGCACCTCCCTGGACAGCTGGGTAGAGATGACCCTGGTTGCATGAGCCAGTGGAGGGTATGAGAGTGAAAGCCGGTGGGCTGACCATCTCTGATAGCTCTCAGGCCCAGATCCAGGGCTTCGAATTGGCCCACCACAACATCTACCCCATGGATGAACTGGTAAAGTGTGAAGGGGCTGGTCCTACAGATCCAAAACTACAGGATCTCCATGACACAGGGCAACAACAGGGTTTCCAAGGAGTCCCAGTGAGACCCAGTATTGGTAGAGCAGCAGAAGCCAGAGGCCTCGTACCAGACCAACAACCCACTGGAATAAACATTTGCAAGCCAAGCTGTGTAGAAAGGGGGGCACTGTGGGACACACTGTGCCGTACCACAGCTTCCACAGCAAGATTTTCTTCCTCTGTTGTGAGGGTGCTGCAAGGATGGAGGGCAGTTATGAGGACAGGGGGAGATGAGCAGAAATGGGGTGCATAATGTGAAATTCACAAAGGACAGATAAAATGTGTTTGTTTTTTTTTTATTTTAAAAATTGGTTTATCCTAAAATTAAGTAAATTCTTGTACTCAAAAAAAAAAAAAAAAAAAGAACCCAAAAACAAAACAAACTTCATGGTCTAAGAAGGAGCAAAGAGTTTAATGGAGAAGCTAAAAGTAGAAAACTTAGACAAAAACATGGACACCAATCTTCATAGCCTTGGATTGCCAGTATTTCCAAACTATGGCATGGAAAACACAAGTAACAAAGGAGAGAAAGACTACCAAACTGAAACATACGTGTGCTTAAAGGGTACCATGAATAGAATGGGAAAGCTACCCACAGAAAGGGAGAGAGATTCAGCAAACCATCTGTCTTATATTCACCACATATAAAGAGCAATGGGAACTCAACAAGGAAACAACGCACCGGAAAATAGAGCATGATCCAAACAGTAATTACTCCAAAGACTTACACCAACAGCCAAGTGAACAACAAAAGGACAATCAGCCCTTTAACCATGCCAGTACTAAACATTAGAACCAGGCCATACAATAAATGCAGCCAGCCTGGGCCATGTGAGACCCTGTCTCCAAAACAAAGACAACAAAAAGAATGAAGGAAAGCTGTGACAAGTGCTACCTGTGTGTGAGCCCCGAGAACACCAGGCTGAGGAGAATGAGGAGCAGAGAGCCACAGCCCCAGAGGACAGGCGGGTGAGGATGATTTATAAGAAATAGGACTTCCTGGGGGGTGACACAGGCGGTCCCCCAAAATGGACTGTGTCTGAATATGTGGCAGATTGCTACACTGCACCTTTGAACGACAAAATTGTGATGCAGCTGTGTCTCATGACAGAAAGAACACAGGTGGGCGTACCCCTCCACCAAGGATGCCCTGAGTCCTTGGGACAAGCCCACCTGTGCAGGGCTGTCTCCCCTGTAGCCCCACCTCCTCCCCAGGTCCCAGCTGGCCTACATCTCTCCTGTCACTCATTTGGCTCCGGCTCCTTTCCTGTCTGTTCCCCAACTTCCCAGCCCCCTCTTCTGCCTGCCAGACTCTGGGGTTACCTCACTCGCTCGCTGGCTTCAGGTTGCCTGTAGCTGCGCAGCCACTAGAATGCTCTGCAGGACCAACACAGTTGTGCAAGCCTGAAGGCAGCCAGGACAACAGAGAAATTAGATTCGAACCTAAGTTTAAGTAAACAACACACAAAGAGAAACCTGGGGTCTTCTCTTCCTCCTCTGCCATCCTCCTGCCTCAGCCACTAGCATGCTCACCACACCCAGTTAGAACATTCCCTTTTTTTATAAGCGAATAACAATCCACTGTGGGACTACACCACATTTTATTTTCCCGGGGGTCTTTCCTGAGACGGTGGGTCTCACACACAGCCCACAACAAGCTGGAACTTTCCCACAGGCACGTGTGAAAGCCCGGAGGCCATTCTCTCCTTTCCCCTTTACAAGATTCCGAGAACCAAATCCGGGTCACCAGGCTCGTGAGGAAGCCTCCTCACTCAGAGTCACCTCACTGGCCTCTTTTACGTCTATGTTCATTTTCAGGCTGAGGGAGGGGTGCGTGTGGAGGTCAGAGCAGGCTTTGCGCAGTCAGTTCTCGCCTTCCATCAAGGGGAATTGAACTCGGGTCCTCTAGCTTGCATATCTATACCGTATGATTTTAAAAGCAGGTGGAGACCCTGGGGCCAGCAAGACCTTAAGCCCAGGGACCCACACCTCGCCGCACAGGGAGGGGGAGCTTCCAAAGTTACCTACCCCAAAGATTTCAGCCTAAGTGCTCTGCAATGGGGCCAGGCCTGGTTGCCAGGCTGGATTCCCTGCTTTGCACCCAGCTGTCACCAAAAGTCTCTCCCACAGGAAGGGACAGCCAAAACCAGACTAAGCCTCGTGATCCCAAAAGAACTGGGGCCATAAAAGAACCCAAGCCAGTCCTGGGAGAGAAATGGTGCCGCTGGGGAGGGGTGACCTGGGGAGCCCACATGTGTGTATCCCCTGAAATCACCCCGACGGGCTAACTTAAAAAGTTAAGGTAAATGAAACAGCAGTAAGGAAAAGCCTCAGCTGGCCCGGGGCAGAATTTTCATAGATGTTTGTTAAGGAAAAGAGAAAGAGTGCTGTGCCGGTGGTACAGGCCAGTAATCCCAGCTACTGGAGGGAAACAGAGGGCCCTGAGGCAGGAGCGTTGCAAATTCAACACTTGCCAGCAAGAGGATGAGTTCAAGGCCAGCCTCAGGAACAGTATCAGATCTTACGTCAAAATAAAAATAAAATAAGGGCTGGGGATGTAATTCACTGGCAGCATGCCCACCTAGCGCACACACACACACAAAGCCCCAATTCAATCCACAGCACCACCAGGGAGGGAGGGGCAGACAGAGAGACGGACGGACAACCACTGCCCTCATAACTCCATCCTTTGATAGACAGCCTTGTCTGTCGGCAGATGGGCTGCTCCTGGAGAGGGCACAGACACGCTGCCTGCAGTCCTGTGTCTGACAGCAGTTGAGAGTGGCCTGGGAAGCAAGTGCAGAGCGCTTTTGCAGCTCTGCTCCGAGCGTCCCTTCTTATGCCCTGTGCTTAGGCCTACAGTAAAATGGTCACAAAGTGTGAGAGGTCCCCCAGAACGCTGTTTCAGACTTACTTACGTCCCCAGTGTCTCCAGGCTCTGGAGCACGGTGGACCTGGCTACCCCGCACAGGGCTCTCCTGCTCCCTGGAGGACTCCCTGTCATTAGGCAGCGCTGACTTCTGCCGGATGACAGCAGCACCATCCACCCCAGAGTGACAGCAAGCATGTCCCCAGAGGCCTGGGACCTCGGGCTCACTTGAGCGGCAGACACAGCCAAGGGTGTCCTAGGGGCATGCTTCACAGCCCTTTGCCTCTGTGGCTAGGACCCAGAGCCTCACGCATGTGCCAGGCAAGCCCTGCACCGCTGAGCCACACCCGCACGCCTCCTTTCACTTTTCATTTTGAAACAGGGTCTCACTAAATTGCTGAGGCTGGCCTTGAACTTGTGATCCTCCTGCCTCAGCCTCCTGAGCAACTGGGTCTGCTCCACAAGGCCTGAAGGGGAACCACTCTGTGGGGAGGTTTGCATCCTGCACCCACACTCCCTGATGGCCAAAATTCTGCCTAAGCACCCATAACAGAAATATGCCACCGTTGTGTGCCTGAGCTTTTACGTGTGTATCCGGTGTGTGTGTGTGTGTGTGTGCGCTATTTGGTGCATGTAAGTTTGGTATGCATGTGTGATGTGTGTGGTATGTGTATGTGCATGATGTGTGTGATGTATGTGGTGCGTTTGGTGTGTGTGTGGTGTGTGTTTAGTTTATGTGTGTGAGTTTGTATTATATGGTGTATGTGTGTGTTTGCTATGCATGTGCGCTGTGTGCGGTATGTGTGCCTGTGTGTACATGATGTATGTGGTGTGTGTGGTGTCTTCAGTGTATGTGTGTGGTGTTTGGTATGTGTGTGTGTGTGTACACACCCATGGAATATTCCTAGCTCCTGAGACACATAGGAAAGTCCCGAGGGCGTGAACACCCTTACCAGCTGTGCCCGAGGAAATGCTCCCTTCTTTCTCTGCCTCCATAAGGTCTGTATTTTTAACAACCAACATTTGGAGCACTTCTGAGGCTTTTTGTTTTCATTCATTTGCTTGTCTTTGTTGTTTAAGATCAAGAGCCAAT